ACGGTCATTCCGTGTTGCTCTAGAACTCTTTGATCTTTCTCTGTAACATGTCGCTGCCGTCAAGTACTAAGTATGGTGCTTAATGGAAGTTGTTAGTGTGATAGTTAGTGGTAGTAGATTGTACACACCGCTGAACGGGAGGCTGACACTCGGATAAAATATGGATGTCGTTGGTAATTTTAAAATTTTTATTCTTTTTTATAGTAACAAAACCAATTTTTAAAAACATAAAGTAATATTTCTAATAAGTTAACATGTATTTAATTTTTTACATAAAGAGTCAATTAATTTTAATTACCGTATAGAGACATTAAGTATTTTGGAAGCAGGAGCCTTGAAAAATTAGCAATGTCCTCGCCGGGAATCGAATCACGGACCTATGGAATATGCGCCCAGTGGGCAGACCACTACACTACGAAGGCATGCTAAGAAGGCGGAAGAACTGCCTTATATACTCCCCGTTCTAAAGAGTGACTCGGGTTCTTAGCGGACCCAATCACCAAATCCTGGGTGTGGAGAATCATCATTCACCACCCTTTTTTGTTCGGGCGCCAGTGCAGAGATATTAGGTTATTTCGAAGCGGAGAGATGAAAATGAGCAACGCTCTCACCTGGAATCGAGCCACGGGAAATTTGCACCCAGCGTGCAGAAAACTATACTACGAATGAATGCTAAAAAGGCGGGAGAAATGCCATATATACTCCCATTTTTAAAGGGCGGCTGGGGTTTTTAGGGGACCCAATCCCCAAATCCTGGGTGGGAGAATCATCGTCCACCATCCTTTTAGTTCGGACGCCACTGTGGCGTCAGGAGTAATGAAAAATGAGCAACGCCCTCGCCGGGAATCGAACCTCAGCCCTCTGGAGTACGCGCCCAGCGTGCAGACCTCTACACTACGAATGCATGCTAACAAAGGGGGAGGAGCAATACCTTAAAACTGTAATATAAATATATACTTTTTCCACGATTCTATAATCGTTGTATTGATTATATGTCAGAATGCTATTTTACTTTCTTGTACGAAGTAAAAAGGAAGTATTGTAATCGCGAAAAGTTTCAGGCAGCATATTTCAACGAAAATATATATTTTGACCGCTATAGAATGCAATTTAACGATGTTTTTGCGTGATATCTGTACGTAAGGACAGAATAAAAGACTCGTTTCCTCCAAAAAATATTATAAAACTGCTTTAAAATAAATTGAAGAGAAATTTTCGTGGCGTCTGTGCGAACGTATGTACGTACGTGCGTACGAATGTATCTCGCATAACTCAAAACGAGTAGCCTCAGAACGTTGAAATTTTGTATATGGGACTTCTATAACATGTAGATGTGCACCGCGTGGTTGCAATCGGTCGCACCAAACGTATATAAATATATTTATATATATATCCACTCTGTTACCCGGCTCAGTGATCTCAGTTTCTTTACTCTTATATGTTTGTAAATTGTACATTTTTTGCATTAAAAATGATTGTATTATGTTGTTTTTATCTTCCGGTTAAGGTTTTTATGCCTTTAGGAAATCTGCAAGCAATATTTGTAGAATTATCAACAATTTAAAAGCTGTTTAAGTAAGGTTAAGGCTAATTTTTAAATAACATGGCTAAATAAATAAAGATAAAAGTCTATAAACTTTGAAATGAAGCCTATTTTGTACATATGTGATGATTATGTACTCTAACACTTCTTACAAGAAGATACAGCATAAAACATAGGATTCAAGATAATATTTTGTGTTTCGAAAGAAAAAAATTGTGTTAATTTGATGCCATTATACGAGTTGCATTACTTACATATTTAAGCCATAGAAAATAAGTTTTACACATGTTTGAATCAGCCTTTCATGTTAATGCAACAAAAAAGAACTGAATTCAAGACCAAATTTTGCATAATCTTTAGTGGATATAATAGAGTGCTTTTGCCTTTGGGCGAATACGTAATTAGACTCCAGGCATATTTTTTAAAATGTAGGAACTATGTTTTTGATTATCAGTGTTGTAGATCAGTAGTCCTGAAGAGTAAATATATATATATATATATATGTGTGTGTGTGTGTGTGTAAGATAAGAATATGTAAATCAGCTTTATAATTTATTTTCATTATAGCCTCATTTTCATTTTGCGTATTTCCTTTTTTCTGTAAAATAATAATAACATTTCTGTACTGCGTTATTTCTAGATAAATCTACCACAGCTTGCGTAACGTATAATGTCATAGATGATTCGGAACCTAAACTCTGAGAACTGAAACTTTTCTAACCTAAGCCAAAACCTTCCTCTTGGCGATCTTCCATCCTGGATTAATGCACACTTCATTTGTATCTCTATTGCTGCTTGGATGCAATTTCGCTGTGCTCTCTTCCTATCGCAATAGTATTCAAAAATGTAAATGTTCTGGAAATAGGCACGATTAAAGTTGAAGTGAAATATGGCCACAAACGTGAATTTAAATAAAAATGGAATTCAATCTGCCTCGACTGCAAAGTTTCCTACTCATTAGGGATTAGTATTCTACGCAATCATATATATATATATATATATGTGTGTGTGTGTGTGTGTGTGTGTGTGTAAGAAAAACAAAGTCAAAAATAACTGAAGAGCAGGAGGAGGAAATTGAATGGCGTAGAAGTGTTGATCCATAATAACTAGGAAGTTTGAGGTGGAGGCAGATTAAATCTTCAGTTTTATTTTCAGCAACATGTTACGTCTACACACAAGTCGACACATTAAATGTAACAGTGCCAAAAGGCTTACATTTTCGATAACTTTGCAGCAAGAAAGCAGACAGACAGCAGTCCAGCTAAGGCAAATCATAGAAAGAAAGTGCGTTATGTTCAGGATGAAATCTCAAGTCAAACTGAGTTAGTTTTAGTTCTCAAAGCATTTTGATTGGATAGTTAATATTGCTGTAAAATTATTATTGGCTGCTTTAGTTCGATTTACATCACCAGAATTACGTCAGAGTCATATGACATAGAATAATCTCGAAATGATGCAGTGCAGAAAGGGGTTACTATTTTTAGAATAGAGAAGGGAAATTTACGTTGCGCATTTAATCTCTTATATATTCTTTATTTTTCTTACATATATTTATATATCTATATACGTATAGTCACCCCCACCTAGGTAATATGCAGAGAACGGTCATGAAAGCGTACGAAACAGCCAGAAAAGTCCTTGTTTGAGATATTATTCAACATACGTGCCGTAGAGGTTCGAATCTCGGATACGTCTTCATAGCGTTGGCCCTTCAAGTAAAGTTTCATTTTCGGGAGCAAACAAATGTCACTCGGCACCAAGATGGGTGAATATGGAAATTGATTATGAGCTGACACGTTTCCTCTCCCCTAGAAACTGCTCCACAACTACAGCCGTGTGAGCGCCTGCACAGTAGTGCAGCAAAAAGGAATACCTCCCCTTCCATCCTTCGGGACTAACACGATGAATCCTCCTGCACAACCGAATCATGAGGCTCGGTTGCACAACCGAACCATGAGGAATTGAATTTCCAGTTTTATCCCAGTTATGAGTCTCGGTTACTATTATATGCCAGGAAAAAAAGCTGTCTCGTAATGTTTCGGACAGACGAGTTTTATATATACGTATATGTGTATGTGTCATAATCCCGGGAACATAGAAGAGGAAACAGCACGCAGTCGTCGTAACTAAGAGTAAAGTCTTACAGATGACACAAAAAAATCATGAACTTGAATTTATTCCAGTCTTTATTTTCAAACATATAAAATTACCTGCATAGATGTTTATCCAAATATAATGAAATCCTGAGACATTTGTATGATTCAATCATAATGAAATACGACAATTTTCTATGTACATTGATTCTTATAATTAAGACGCAGGCAGTTTAGACGGGAAAGTAACGCGAGGAGCTATTAGCAAGGTGAAAGCTAGAAAGAGAGTGACGTAGTTTTATTTCCGAGCGGTGTTTATACAAAATACATGCAGAATGTACTCTAAGCTATGATTGATTAATTTGAGGTTGTTATATAATCCTCGAAGATTCTCGAATTCGGAAGAAAAGATAAATTTAGGGGGAGAGCACCAAATGCTAATTTTGAAGTCACCAATTATTTTTTAAAACAGCTATCGCATTTTGTTATATCGCATATATATATAAGTATTCTTTGTAAATTTGGGTCTAAATTTCTTACTTTTTGTCTCTCTCTCTCTCTGTATATATATATATATGTGTGTGTGTGTGTGTATACATAAAGGAATCTCTTCGAAATTACATATAATACTGGATGTACCGATTAGTGTTTATTTAAATATGTATATATGTGTATGTATGTTTATATACTAAAGACTGGCTCAAATATGGTTTAAATTAAGTGTAAAAATTTACTGTACACTGTTGAGGAAATACTGAATTGTATATTAAACGCCAAATTCTTCCTTATTTCAGATAAGGGTCTATTTTCCCAATAAGCCATTCATCTGAAATGGCACTAAAAGCAACACGTTACAGTTGCATCGTAGGTGACTGAAACCATACATTCCACATGATTGTGTGGCCGTGAGTTAGGTGAGACGTAATTTTAAAGTAGCATTTTTGCCTTCGACTGCGGCTTAAATGGTGAAAACGGCTGCTTATAACAGAAAACATCATTAAAGGTACACCTCTCAGAACACCATGCAATAACACTTTGAAACAATAGCAATATTGATATTCGAAGCCCTATAATCGGCGGGAAAAGGTAGTAAATTGAGATTTAATTGATGTGTATTGTTGGTTAGTTTCGAGAATTGGCATTAAATTGGCTCTGTATCAAGACTATTAGCCATAATACTGTCATTAAAAGATGCAATCAAACATGTAGCCATGTGTCTGACATTCTTCCGCTGTCAAGCATTTATATTTAAAGTACAATTATTATTATCAATTAGATATTGTTATCAATTGGATGTTATTATCAACTAGTATTATTGCCAATAAGAATACACTTATCTTAACAAAGTTTCTGGTTCCCAACAGTTAAACCAACGATCATTCGAAGTGGAGGGGAGTTGGAGAAAGCAGTTGGACGAATGAAATGTGTAGCAGAAGGAGCTCCAAATGTAACTATAATGTGGACGTTTAATGGGACGATTCTTCGAATGACTGGTGATAAATACAGTGCGTCTCTCACTTCGCAACATGAGGTCCAGTGGACATCCATACTTATTGTGCGCGATGTTGACGAAGGGGACTATGGTATATATACGTGTACTGCAAAAAATCCTCTTGGATATGACTCTGCAGATATCATACTCAGCGATAAAGGTAGGTTGTTACTCCTTGTCATTGTGTGGTAGTAAATGAAATACTATTTTTGAAATCTAACATGATAAATTGAATTAGCAACCTTGAATAACTGTTCTTTACAGTAGCACATAAAGGAATTACCAGATAGCGAAAAAGCGTGAAAATATCATTTGTAAGTTACAGAAGAGTAACCTTCCATCTAGCAAATCCGTATATATATCTTGAAAAATATTTTTCATGTCACCTTTAGGTCCCAATCATATTATGTTTCGGCTACGCGGGACTTGACGTCGAAAGGGACAATTCTCAGAACCCTTACAATTCCAGGATACACCCGTAGCTAGGTTACCATTCTCCTTTACTACAAAGATTTGAACGCCAAACAGTAATCGATTATCGCTCAAATTGGGATCACGTGATCCTTCAGAAGCAGAACTTTCGTCTGATTGGTTATCTCTACCCGGGACCCTAGACATTTTCGATGAGGTTTGAAAAAATCCCGCGTAGCCGCAACATTTTTCTGTAACTAGGCGGGACTTCGCTTCGAGCGGAGTCACGCCTAGTTACTTATTTTTTCTAGGAATCCTCCCATTTAAACCAGTGCTACCAGAATCTCGTTTCTCATAAAAGTACCGTCTAGCAGGGACTGTAGCCATATGTGATAACCTCTTTACGTTTATGTACATACGCAACATCAATAATGATTATGAAAGCATTTCTTCAGCTTGGAATGTGACCAAATAATTAGGAAATTAATATCGAAAGAAAAGAATCTCTGCATAGAATGACGAGTATCTCTTAAAGTACAAATAAGAAAAATACCGTTTACTTTTTTCTCTGGAAAATTTTGTTTTCGGGGACCAATCTCGTAACTGTGCATATTTTTTACTACCTTGAACAACATAAAATAGAAGTATTGCAAACGCGGAAAATTTCGGGTACCAAATTTCAAGAGAAATATCCATTTTGACCATTCTCTAACTCATTAGGACGATTTTTTGCGTGATATCTGTATGTATTGACAGAATAAAGGACTTTTTTTTTTTCCAAAATGGATTGTAAAATAGTTTCAAAAGGGTTTTTTTCATGAAGTGTATATCTTGCATAACTCAAATCTATTAATTGTAGAACTCTGAAAGTTTGTATATAGAACTATTATAACATCTAGTTGTGCAGCTTGCCTATCTATTGCACTCACCAGTACCAAATGTGTTTATTTACATGAACGTTTACCCTTACCCGGCTTAAAATTTCTTACACTTTATTTTAGCATTCACAGGTTATTTAGTCAAGTATTTTAAATGACGAAATCAATTAGGATATTTAATTTAAAAATTTGGAATTTTATATGTCACTTTCAACTTGCTTTGAGGGATAGATTAATTAATTTAGAATAATTCGAGGAAATAACTTTACATGAAATGCTGCAAAATTACAGAAGTAACCTAAATAACGCAAGTTCAAAATATTATACTTAAAATTTGCAATTTTCGATGTCATTTTTAACTTTGGCTTATACCTTTCTAACTTAATGAACTTATACCTTTGAGGTATAAGTTCATTAAGTTAGAATTATTCGAGAGAGTAAATTTATGTGAAGTGCAGCAAAAATGTATATAATTTAATAAGGCGTATAAGAAAGTTATGGGGTGTTCACATCAGATTTTGTTTTTCGAATTATTAGTTTATCATTTATTTAGTTATTTATAATATAACCAATTTTATGCTCTGAATTTTTTTTTTTTTTTTTTTTTAATTTATTTTTTGATGCAAAGTCATGACAGAGGTAATGAAAATTAATTTAAGCTCGAATAATCTTAGAGGTGACAAAAATAATTAAAGATCTACAGCATTCAAAATTATAAATAACAACTTTCTTATTTAACTTTTTTCTTATTTAGCTTTTTGCACAAAGTAATGCGTTTTTCCTAGATACAGTGCACTCTACCTTTTGTTAGAAATGTCAACATAAATTTTATCCACGGAAAAACAAATTAATTAAAGTAAAGTAAGTTAAAGTGACAACTGGGAAGTCGACTGCATTTCCTCAATTACCAGGCATAGCTGAAATATGACACGAGTGGTTATCAGTGTGGCAGTTCATTAATTTGTTATTAAATAGCTTTATAAACAATGACTCTAAATGTTTAATAATTTTTAGTAACTGTGTTTTATTTGAGACTAATTTAATTATTTGTACCTTTTTCTTGCTAATATTTGTTACAAAATTAAGGGAAGAATATTAACAAACACGTAATTTTCCCTCGAGTCTTTGATGTTTAAGTTGAAATTTTTGTGTTTTAGTCATAAATTTTGATAGTTAGGAAGTATAATTTATAATAGTAGAAAAATCTGTAAGATATCTTATGTTAAATAACCAGTCATTGTGGTTTCAGTTTTTATTACAACTTCTTCTTTTCGTATTCCTCACTGGAATGCAAATTAGCTTTTAGAGTATATAAGCTGAGGGTTTGGAATCTTTAGATTTTCTGGCAACCGCAGTTTGCTGTTAGTATTACTGCCAGTTCTGCTTAAAAGTTTGATTCCGGCTTTAGCATCTCGATAGCCGATATTCTGAAATATGCGCCGTTAAAATATCTCAGTAGCTCAAATCTAGTCTATTTCATGTAGTCTTAGGCTACGTTCTGTACGTTGAATTTATTTATCCCTTATGCTAATTTAAGTACTCACAAGTATGGAAATTTCGTCTGTAGCACATGTTGTACCCGTTCGCATATGTCACAAATGCACATCAGTGTAGCCACCGAGGGAGTGGTTTATAAGATGGACCAATAGGCATCCAGTAATATTTCTGTCATGTCACATGACCTTTCGCGTGCCTTAAGATTTAAGCAAGATGAAAATATTCTGCCATGCAATTTTCTGTACAAAATAATTAAAGCATCGTCGATTCCTTCTGAAACTTTTCATTGCAAAATTAGATCAAATATAAGCAATTGCGAAAATTTCACTACCTGGTTGAAAGAATTTGAAATAAATACAAACAAATGTTGGATACTCCGCACTATTAATTAAATATACATGTGAAATATTACTTAGTAAGTGGTAAATAAGATGAAGAAAGAAATATATCATAAACATCTGAGCCCAAATGCTATCTTTACATAAAAATATGCATATGAGAAAAATATTTATACCCATTACATATATAAATAGAAGTCAGAATTTTTAATTGCAGCCTATATGAAAAAAAAGTTCTATTAACCAGTGCAGAATTTTTTTTCAAAGTGAACTTTACTATTTGGATTCGTATACATTTTAGTGTGTTAAATTTCACATTTAATAACTGCTCATTCTTACACGCACTGTCTACACAAGAAATACTCACAAAACTGAATGAATTTATCTTATTCACAACGAATATATTCAATTTATTCACATATTAACTCTTTCTGTTAATAATGGATATAATCAGATAATACACAATATGTATTCTGAAACTTTAAAATTCAAAAGAATGCAAGAACTAAAATAAGAAAACACTAGATTCATTGTAACACTTCCAGTCCAAAAAATTATACACTTGAATTCTCTTAATCCACAGGTGTTAGCAAATGCATAATATTCGAGGCTAATTGTAGCTTGAGTCATTTTCTCGATGTAAAAAACGATAATAAGCCGTGAACATCAATACAAATATTAATGCGTTATAAAAAATCGCGAAGAAATGTCAACGATTGCGTGATAAAAATCGTGAAATTGAAATTTCAGAGATTAATAGAAGCTCATTGGTCCGTTTTCGAAACTCCTCTCTCAGTGGTTACTCTGATGTGCACTTGTGGAATATGCTACTCGTTCTATTATAATTAAAATTAAATAAAAAGGTTATTTTAACCTTCTTCGGTATTTTGTGAGCTGTTTAAAATGTAGCTGCAACACGTTATTTGTCTAGTTGGGTCTGCATGACTTTAACACTAGTTACAAAAGAAACTGCAAATCGTCCATTAATAAATTGCTATTGGTAGTAATTTACTAACAGCAGGTTTTGTGTTTCTTCGTAACAAATCCTAGTTCAGTTGTTGCTGTCGTTAAAACAAAACTTTTATCTTTTATTAACAATAAATACAGCTCCGAAATTCCCATTCTGCACATTAACACTGTCCAGTTAACTGGAATGTATCTGTAGAAATATTATTTAAAATACACCTAATCGTACTGAATTTAAGTTATTAACAGCTGAAGGAAAATATTTATATTTTGCTAATTCTTGTAAACACAAATTGTTCGTATTTCCTTTCTTATGTATCATTTCATACTATTTGAAAAGATTGCAGGAGATAGCAGTTAGCCCACTGATGCTATTTTTCACGCTATCAGCCCATTTTCCGCTTTTAGTGGAAAAGCAAGGGTGATAAGACAGGAAATGTAGCAAACCAGGATTACTCCCAAGAGAGACTCTTTGTTAGAAAAGTCGAGTTGTAGAAGATTTTAGAAGCTTTCGTTAACTCCAGCGCATTAAACTTGAAAATAACTTTGGGTAAACTGTAATCTAAGCTGACGGCCGAAACTGTGAGAGGAAAATTTTAAAGACAAGTTTTCCTTTTTTGTGCGAAGAGCTTCAAATAGTTGGAAATTAGCCAAATTTTCCAAGTACCCTGCGGTATAGTAAATTTTTAAATGTGTCAGATTTAATAACTTTAAGAAATTGTGCGTAACGTTATCCGTTCACACTTCTTTTACGTTAACTGCTGACCTTTTTCGAAATCTGTATGCATACGTTATGATAGCCATAAGAAATAGTGGCTGTGTTATGTGTTTACTATTCTTCTATTTTAACTGCTGACCTTTTTTAAAACGTGTATGAGTAGTTTATGCACTGTGCACGAGTGATATAGTACATTATACTGACTTTCAGGAATTTTATTACCATATTCATTGCCTCATAAAAATTCAACAAATTATAAAATCAAGGATTCAATTCAAAGATATTATCCGCATTATTCTTTAATTTTGTTAGTTCTAAATTCTGGCATCAAGTTGAAATTAAAGTGTGTGAA